CAACCGACGTTGCGCTCAAGGCGGTCGCATCTGGCCCATGTTCCAAAGTCTTTCTCACAGGAATCGGTGTGTTTAATGTCTCCTCCAACTCCCCGACAGTGCGGTTCTTGGTCTCAGAGGAGGAAAAGCACCTCGATTGCATGGGCACGGCACAGCCGGCTGGCGACACATATGGAGGCTCACGATAAAGACAGCGTTTTACAGGTCCCAGGAAGTCAAGGCAATTTAAAACTATTAAGTCATAATGGCAAAAGAGAAGAAGCTGAAACAAGGAAGTGCTACTCAGCCCTAAGATTCTTATTCACTCTTGGAAAACATGAGTAGTTGGAGTTGAGTGCATATAGCAGAGGCCAAGGCAAGATAGAGACTGAGCCGTTTAGCAAGCAACTGCGCAAAACGAAGATGGCGTCAGTCAGACTAGGAGAGATCCGTGAAAGAACATCTCATGTCTTCGTCGGAGCCTGAATGCACCAGTATTACTGAAATTATGTTGCAACAGGGATCAAAAAGTGAATTTCATCTGGAATCAAGACAACTCAATCCGACAATCAATAGGTTTGAATCAATTATACGAGTCGAATCACGCCCAATGAACAAAACACAGTATCTGTATCATGCCAAATACTCAATACCATAAATCCTTATTTTCTAAACCGAAGCAACAGCTAGTTCGCAAACACGGCGGCTCAAGCCAAGGGGGCCGAGAAGTCAGGAGCAGTGGAACAGTAGAGAGATCATTGAATTGGATGGGTTTCATCGATGGAGACGAAAGACTGGAGAGGTGATAACGCGATCCTTTTGCGTGTTCTGGTCGCAGGACCGCCAACCCACACCAAGATAAGGTAGCCTCGCCCCGCATTCAGGGGTCCGCTAGAAAGAACATTCAAGCGGCATTGTACAAAGCAGAAATAGACGAGGGAATCTGGGGTGACACAATGGGTTGGTCAACTTTGAACCAACAACACGGGCTCGTACGGAGTTTACAGCCAACATTAGCCAGGGTGTAGACATTTTCAGTCCGGGGTAACAAAGACAGAGAGAGTGAGTCTCCCACCATTCTAAGATGGCATATCAGGTATTGCAACAAGTTTCGGCCCAGATAGTGATGCGGGGCCGGCACCGGCTTCCCCGGGCCCAATCAGAACCACTCAAGGTCGGGCAAGTCCAAGCCCCTTTGTGCGGAGTTGCTGCGGATGAAGTCGAGGAGAGCAGGGATCATCTTGGGGTCGTCCTACACCGATACGACCTGACTCGAATCTACCCCGAGGAAAGTCCAGTGCTTGCCCCACGCTCACTCGTCATATAGCGGGGGCAACTTGGTCTCACGAGAAAACAGGAGCTCGCCGAAGGGACTATCTGGTCGGGTCTTTGCCGCGGTGTTGCACCCGACGCATTACTCCGCCTGGAGGTTTGAGCGCAGATAAATAACGACTATACCTTGGTGGCCGGCCATCTGTCACTCCCTTCTACACTCTCCCTCCTTTCATTCCTCAACTCCAATCCGTGTCCTACCCCGCCGTTTCCCCTCCTTCGAACCGTTATCATGGCCCCTCAAAGCTTGCCCCTCCAGGCAAAGGAGGGAGTTCATGATTATGAGAACCCCTCCGTCTTCCGGCGCAACACCCTGCCTGCTCGTGCATACTTCATTCCCGAGACGTCGCTGCTGCTCAATGGCGTCTGGGACTTCCACATGGCCGGTACTCCCGAGGAGGCGCCTTTGCCAGAAGACAAGGGCGACGAATGGGGCACCATCAACGTTCCGGGCCACTGGCAGCTTCAGGGACACGGATACCCGTGGTACACCAACACTCAGTTTCCCATTCCCGTGAGCCCTCCGTATGTGCCCAGCGAGAATCCTACGGGTACCTACAAACGCACATTCTATGTCCCCTCGACGTGGGACGCGAAGTCGCAGTTGCGCCTGAGATTCGACGGTGTCGACTCTGCATACCACATCTGGGTCAACGGCGTGCTCATTGGGTTCGCACAAGGGTCCCGAAATGCGTCCGAGTTCGATGTCACAAGCATTCTGAAGAAGGATGGCCCAAACGAGCTCTTTGTCAGAGTTTACCAATGGTCCGACGCAACATACATTGAAGATCAGGATCAATGGTGGCTTTCTGGTGAGTGAAAGCCAAGACATCTGCCCTCCAGACACCTCCTAACCACTTGTCTGTAGGTATCTTCCGCGATGTCACCCTCCTTGCCGTTCCCGGGGCCACCAGAATCGAGGATTGGTTCCTCCGCACCGACCTGGACGAGAAATACGAAGATGCTACCCTCCTCGCGACCATTGACATCAAGACTGCTGAAAAGGGCACTGTCAAGCTCACTCTTAGCGAGCTTGGCAAGAACGGCGGCGCCGTGATCGCTACCAAGGAGGCAGAGGTTACCTCCAGCGACACAAAGGTAGATCTCAGCATTCCAGTTACAAACCCCAAAAAGTGGACGGCCGAGACACCCTACCTCTACCGAGTCGATATCACTCTCGGCTCCCACTCCATCTACCAAAACGTCGGCTTCCGCAAGGTTGAGCTGAAGAACGGCCTTATCACCGTGAACGGTGTACCCATCCGCATTAGAGGCGTGAACAGACATGAGCACCACGCTCGCTTCGGCCGTGCCGTTCCTCTCGAGTACGCAAAGCGCGACCTGCTCATCATGAAGAACCACAACGTCAACTCCCTGAGATGCTCGCACTACCCTCCACATCCTCGTCTCTTCGAGCTTGCCGACGAGCTCGGTCTGTGGGTCATGGACGAAGCCGATCTTGAGTGCCATGGTTTCTACGACGCCGTCGCCCGTCCGCAAGATGTCGACGAGGCGGCGGATTACGAAGAGCGCAAGGCTGTAACCTTCCCCCTGGCTGGCAAGTACACCAGCGAAAACCCGGAGTGGCGTGAGGCCTACCTTGACCGCATGGTTCAGTTGGTTCAACGTGACAAGAACCATACGAGTATCATTATGTGGTCGCTCGGTAACGAAGCTTTCTACGGCGAAAACCACAAGGCCATGTACGAGTATGCGAAGAAGTTTGACCCTGGTCGCCCGATCCACTACGAGGGTGATGTCAAGGCCGAGACTGCGGACATGTACTCTTACATGTACCCTCCTATTGACCGTCTGAGCAACCTGGTCGAGACTGAAGGTGTGAAGGGGGATGGAAGCTTTGACAAGCCCGTTATCCTCTGCGAGTACGGCCACGCCATGGGTAACGGCCCTGGTGGTCTCGATGACTATATCGGGGTTTTCGAGAAGTACCCCCGCCTTCAAGGTGGTTACATCTGGGAATGGGCAAACCATGGTATCTGGAAGGAAGATGCCGACGGTAAGGGCTACTACGCCTATGGAGGAGACTTTGGCGAACGACCTCATGACGGCGCCTTCGTCATGGACGGTCTCCTCCACAGCACCCATGACCCTACGCCCGGCTTGGTTGAACTCAAGAAGGCCTACCAGCCTCTCCAGTTGTCTATTGAGGGCAACCAGTTGGTGGTGAAGAACAGGTACGACTTTGTCGGTGCCGACCACCTCACTTCCACCTACAAGGTTGAGGAGCTAGGCGAAAGGTGAGTCTACCTGTTTGCAAACCGAGTTCGAGGAAAACAATACTGACAATGATTGGAACAGCTCCGTACTTCTCGCCTCTGGATCCCTCGATATCCCCACTGTCGCCGCCGGCGAGACCGTCAAGGTCAACCTCCCCTCAAGTCTCGTGGACATCAAGTCCGACAAGGAGGTTTACATCACTGTGACTTTTGGCCTCAAGGGGTCCACAAACTGGGCCGAGCCCGCTCACGAGATTGCCTGGATCCAACACAAGTTGTCTGGTGTCCCCGCGGCTCCCAAGCTGGCCACTAGCGCCCTCACCTCCAAGCTGCAGGTCACAAAGTCCCGCGCCAAGGCTACTATTTCCGGCTCCGACTTTGCTATCACTTTCGACACTGCCCGCGGCTACATTACTTCCTGGACAGCTGCTGACATCCCTCTCCTCGAGAAGGACGCTTCCACCGGTGCTGCCATCATTCCCAACTTTTGGCGTGCTCCTACCGACAATGACAAGCCCAACGACGCGCCGTACTGGGTTCGCTTCGGCGTCGACACCTTTGACAGTCAGCTCCGATCGCTCAAGATCAACGAGTCGACTGATAAGGTTGAAATCGTCACCAACACCTACTTGTCTCCCCGTGTCCTCGACTGGGGGTGGGAAACAACCACAACCTACACCATCGACGCCACTGGTCGGCTTACGATTGCAGTTGAGCTGAGGCCCCGCGGTATCAAGCCCACCCACATCCCTCGCGTGGGTCTTAACCTGCGTCTGCCTAAACTGCTCAACAACGTCAAGTATTTTGCCCTCGGCCCCGGCGAATCCTACCCGGACAAGAAGTCCAGCCAGCACCTTGGCGTCTTCAGCGCTACCGTGCCGGAGCTGCACCAGCATTATGAGGTACCCCAAGAGGGCGGTAACCACATGGAGACTCGCTATGTCAAGCTGAATGAGGATCACGGCCGCGGTCTTCGTGCCGCGCCGGCTGATGCCTCTGTCTGGTCTGAGGATGAGTGGCGCCAGTTCAGTTTCCAGGTCAGCCGGTACACTTCCGAGACGGTGCAGAACGCCGCGCACCCATGTGATCTCGTGGAGGAAGATGCAACGCTCCTTCGTTTGGATGCTCGCGTTGCCGGCGTTGGTACGGCTGCTTGCGGTCCCAACGTCCGTGAGGACCTCAAGGTGCATGTTGGAGAGTTCAAGTTTGGGTTTGTACTTGAAAGAGTTGGGTTCTAATGATTGTAATGCAATGACGTTAGAGCAAGAGCGGATAAGACAGAAAAGATCTCTGAATAAATAGAGCTATAAGTAGTATCATGAATGGCTGCAATAGTATTGTCTATCCTCGTTCGTTGCCTGCCAATCAATGAGTAACGGGGTCAAGGATCTTGGTTGAAGCCGGGTGTGGAGCCAAACATAGGTTGTGGATTGACGTGCCCAACTCCAATCCGGCCGGTTGGCCCAATGGCAAGGCGTCTGACTACGAATCGCTGGTCTCAATATAGGGATCAGAGATTATGCAATCAGGAGATTCTGGGTTCGACCCCCAGGCTGGTCAGTATTATTTTTGCGAGTTATGATAACAGCATGAGAAGAGTTTTGACCCGAGACACTTCACAGTCAGTAGGTTTATTTGTATTTTACTTGTAATTATCTATCTACTTTCTGCGGCTTAAGCTCTGTTATAAACTGTAAAGAAAAGTAGAAAAAAGGTTTATTAATATAACTAAATAACTACTGAAAATGTATCATGAGGTAGGTTAAACACAACCTCTGTGTATATCTACGAACTAGTGTCATTACCTAACCTCTTTGCCTTCCGCTACCTTCAGCCTACAGCATGGCGTCGCGCTTATACTGGGCCTACCCAGTCATGTGTCAAACATTATATCTAGTGCTGGCCTTGGCCCAAGCCGATGTAGACAGATATGAACCTCTTCATGGATGCCTGTAGAGCTTTTGGTCGAGATGCTCAAGTTGGTCCGAAGCTGGAGGGATTAGTGCGTGACAACACTGGCTTGATCAACATTCACCACCAGCCCTACAAAATCCCAGCCGGCCCATGGGCAAAGGACCCATACCTGAAGGACATTGGAATGTGCAACCTCGTTCAGATGTTGGACGGTTTGGAGGGGTTTTCTATGAAGCTGCTCTGCGGGGCTCTTGGTTGGACGAAAGAGGAGGTGATTGTGCTCCTGGCCGGAGTCCGCAACGACCTGAAAAGTGGGAAAGGCACGGATGGTACCACTAGTGAGTTGTTCTATCCAGTGTGCTGGATCATGCTCTTGTATTGATACTCCTCACAGCAATGTGGTCTATGGCCAAAAGCCCGAGGAGGAAAAGGAAGAGATGAAGGATGTGCAAAGATAAGGAAGAGAGCTCGGAGGAATGAAGACATGAGGAAGAAATTTCAGAAATTGCATATTCAGAAAACTCCAGGAAGTAGGCGACTCTTTTGGAGTTCGAGGACTTGGAAGACGGAAACTTGCACAACGAGACGTAACTTCAAAATCGCGGAGAAGCAGGGGGTGAATTAGATTGCAGACCTGATCCGGCCTTCGATGGCTTCCGCAACTCGAAAACACACCTGATACAGCATCGTCACACTACCAGTGGTGCAAGAGCAATCTCCACTCGAGAGCATAAATGTCACTTGTTGAACACATTCATTTCTGACCCTGATGCTTGTTCGACGTGTCTTAGTGTGAGGGCAGCGGTCCTGCAGTCTGGTCCGTATACCTTAAGTACCTAACCCTAATTAGGTAGGCACGAAGTAGTGATGAGGTTCCAGAACCTCCTGCCCACGCTTTCTTCGTCATCGCCACGATGCCTCTTTCCTTCTATTTCTCTTCCAGAAGAACCACGGAATGAATTTGTCAAAAGGAAGGCAGCGGAAGCAGGACCCCCCGCGAATGGTAATAGCGTCCGCGCCTGCTGCCATCTACGCCTACCTACCTACCTACGTAACCTTGCAGTTTCTTTCAAGGCAAAAACACCTTTCCGCCTCGCAGTTCGATTTCCTCTCTCCATCTTCAACACCTCAACATCACTAATCGTCGCCTTGCCTGACAACCGTCCTTCGTCCCGAGGCCATCGACTCCGCCTGTCCAATATCAACACCTGTAGAGTTTCTTCCATTCTTTTCCTGCTCCGAACCACGTAATTTTTCTCCGAAACTGTACCGGTCTCGAGCTTGATATTAGGTCCCAATCCCACTTCCATCTGACCCAACGTCGCTTGCTTCATACATATCGAAGCATAATGGAGACGCATTCTTCATCTGCTGCAGTCACCAAGTCCCCCAAGGCCACGGGGGCGCAGGAAGTCTCTCAAGAATCGCCCACGACTGGCGATCTCCCTTCCACCTTGTATGCACCTTCGACCTCTGTCCCACAACTTCCGCCAATAATTCACCTGATTCACGGCAAACTGGGACGCCAGACAGTCTACACAGTCATGTCCCCCGACTACGACACACCATGCATCGTTCTCGTCGACAAGCACCGATACTCCTCTTCTTTCACCATGAAGATGTTGAATGGAGAAAGTCACACTGCTGGAGTTTTGGCAACTGCGAGCGGGAAGGTCGGTCCATTCTTCGGCCACAATTTCCTCGAAGTCACGCTACCTTCTCTTTTGCCCACCGAGACCGAGGGGACCAAAATCACCATGAAATGCCGCAAGCCTTCCTTCCGACGTTGTAATCTCGACTTCGACTTGATTCTTGAAGGAAGTGAGGATTGCTTGGAATGGAAAAAGACTACCGACGCCGAGGCCAAGGCGCTTGGAGAGGGGCTCCGTCGGAAACTGGTTCGAAAGTCCCGCCCCAAGTCTGGCACCGACGACTCGAACATGCTGCCGGAGCCGGGCTTTAAGAGCGATGAAGAGGAGGTTGTAGCTTTCATGGCAGACAACAGTGGATGGAACCCGGGCCGCAGCCTCGCTCTCCATTTCGAGGGCTCCGTACTTGAGGACGCCTTGGGCCAAAATTGGAAGTCTTTCGCCCTCTTATCTGGACTTTGGCTGTGGTGGATCGATCTCAAGGGGTACGGCAAGCTGACGGCGGGCAGTGCTGTTATCTCAACCGCTGGAATTGCTCTTATTGCAGGGGTCGCTTTCTAGGCTTAGATTGTCCGACTGGTGGACGTTTTCAAACTCGGACGAGACATGGCGGACCTCTATGAGCGATGAGAAATTGTAACTTGGTGGCACCTAGATAACCAACACTCTGAATTCCCTGTTTTATTCAACATGTTGGTCTGGGACTGCATTAGTGACAGCGTGGTACAGACTTCGGATATCCTTCTCGGGTCGGAACCACCTACCAGTATTTTCACAGGCCATCGCAAGCGAAGCACTGGTGGCGAGAGCCCTACCAAGTGCTCGGAGTGGACTTCTTTCCAGTATTTCGGCCGGAGTAAACGGCGAACCTGTCTCTGCGAATTAGCTTGGAGGAACGCAACCCATGTCCTCCTCTCTATCATTCGTTCGCTTGAACTGGGCTGGGGTGGCTCTTCGGTCCGTAACGGGGATACGTTGTTACGCTGACCGACGATCAACGTGAGCTGACAAGCACTTCTCACGCTTCCCCTCTCTCAGCCAGGGACTCAGTTGATAGTTAAGGTAGCTGCGCACTCCTTTGCTGCAAAACATAATTGGTAGAACTTACTTGTAGGCGTGCAGCAAAGACACTGCCAAGGGGCTAAGTGATCCTATGCAACGTCGGATGCAGCCCCCGCCTACGCATTCCGTCATGATTCTGAATTCTTTCTATAACAAAACACGCCTGCTATTTGGCTTTTGCTCCAAGTACATTGGCTCGATCAAACTAACAGGTATTGTCAAGTTTGGCCATGACTATAAATACAACGTGTCTGCCAATAAGAAAATCTCTCTCTGTCTTCATCCGTTGATTCCTGTTTGAGTTCAATTTTCGGATTCCGTAATATGGGCCCCATGAAGCTTAAGAACACCCTTGCGGTTGTCTTGGCAATGACAACCGCTTCTCAGGGGACTGTCACGGAGCTTCCCAGTACCCTGACTGAAGTAGACGTCATAATCGCCGGAGGTGAGTCTTGAAGGCATCTAGGGCTCAAAACTGAACATGGAACTCACCTCCACACCAGGCGGAACATCTGGAAGCATTGTTGCCGCGAGGCTGGCCGAAACTGACCCAAGCCTTTCGATTCTTCTCATAGAGCAGGGCCAGGACAGTTACAACGTAACCAACGTCATCTACCCCGCGCTTTTTGAGAGAAACACCTTGCCTGACTCCAAGACCGCCCTCTTCTGGAAATCCAAAAGGTCCCCGCAGCTTGCAAACCGCGAGCCAGTCGTCGAGACAGGAGGAACACTAGGCGGCGGGTCCGCAATCAACTGGATGGTATACACTAGAGGGCAGTGGGACGACTTTGACTCGTGGAACACTCCGGGATGGAGTGCAGACGACCTCTTACCCTTCATTCAAAAGGTAATCATCCTTGTACCACGGGGCTCTGCCAACTGACCGGTAGCCAAGGTGGAAACCTACCACGGAGTCACGAACAACGAATCGACGCACGGTTACCATGGACCAATCCATGTGTCCAAGGGAACACACCAAGCACCCCGGGCAGAAAGGGGCTGGATCGACGGCGCCGTTGATGCTGGTTTCGCCGAGATTGAAGACTTGCAAAGCCTCCACGCTAATAACGGTTCAGGACCGTGGTACCGATACGTGTCGCCCGAGAATGGCCGGCGTCAGGATGTGGCGCACCGCTACCTATACCCGCTCTTGCGGAGCGGCGATTATCCAAACCTCCATGTGCTTGTTGAGACCCAGGTCCTTCAAGTCTTGTTTGAGGGGGCAGAAAGACGCGCTGCCGGAGTAAAGATCGGCGTGAACCCAAAATTCGCTCCGAGTGGTCGCGACAATAGCACCAAGACCGTCAAGGCCAGGAAGCTCATTGTTGCGTCTGCCGGATCATTCGGGACGCCGCTACTTCTCGAGAGGTCCGGGGTTGGAGACCCTGAAGTGCTCGAAACAGCGGGAGTGCCGGTTGTCGAGAGTCTTCCTGGCGTGGGCAACGACTTTCAAGGCAGGACATGTCCTTCGTGATGAACGACTCAAACTTTGCTTACAGACTCCTCGATAGACCATCACTTTGTAGGCTATGTCTACCGCACGAATCTCGGGCCGAATGAGACTATCAACGGGATGGTACGGAATGACCGAGGCAGAGACGTGGATGCCATGATTGCATCGGATGACAATCAATTGGGTTGGAACGGCCATGACGCCTCGAGCAAACTCAGACCATCGCCTGCGGATATTTCAGCCATTGGGCCGGAGTTCCAAGCCGCATGGGATAGGGACTTCAAAGATTCGCCGAACCGTCCTCTCATGACCATGGGGCTCTTCAATGCTTACTTTGGCGACCCTGAAGCCCTCCCCGACGACGCCGAGTACGTGACAACCGCACCTTGGGTCACCTATCCGTATGCAAGGGGGCACATCCACATCACCGGCTCCGACATCGATGATGCGTACGATTTCGATTCTGGCTGGCTGCTTGACGA